TAAATCTTATTATCGAACCTGCCTCAAAAAACACATTCACATCGTAGAGCAACCTGTTGCTGGTAAGTCATAATAACTTTAGTCGATGGAATGAATGCATCTTGGCTTGATTTTCGATAGCCGTTACTTCATTCTCGTTACGTCTGATATATAGAATCCCCTAGTAAACGAAGAAAATACGATAACGATAACGAAAAACTGGAAAGGTTTTGGAATGCTTTGAAGGACGGGAAAGTTGAGAAGCATGATGGTGGCCAATTTCTTGAATTATCCAGGGACGTTTACTATCTTCTAGGCAAAGATGAACAAGGTTCCAATATATCTACTCTGTTCATCCGTGAATGTTATCACCACCTGAGTAATATTATTTTTGGGAATGAAAATGTCCGTTGGCGTATTACTGGCAATCCGGGAATTGGGAAAACCTTCTTCGGTTACTATCTACTTTATCTCCTTTCACAACAACGTAAAACAGTTGTATATCACAAACTTGACAAGTCTCCGATTCTCTTCAGTGAGGAAGGTGTTTTCAGTCACACCGAAGACAATATTCATGCATTCAAAGATTACTTGGAAATGAAGATGTTTGGTATATCGTGGATGGTAGGAAACCGATGGAATATGTCGCCAAGACAATTCTCGTCTGTTCGCCCCAGAAACGCTACTACAAAAGCTTTGACAAGCTTGGAACAAATATTCGGTATATGCCGGTATGGTCTTGGGAAGAGATCGATGCATGCAGGATTAAGCTTTTCCGTAACCTTACTCAAGAACATGTTCGGAAATTATACAATGAATGGGGTGGAATTCCTCGGTTTACCTTGTTTTATGCTCACAATAAATCTCAGCAAGATCTTCTTCAAAGGGCAATTAATTCGGTTAACGATAATCTGTTAAATTTTGTTGGTGAGACCACAGATGACAATAGCGCCAGTCATAAAATCGTCCATCTCTGCACGAACATACCAAAAGAAGAGGATGAAGGAGATGAAAGTGTGGAAGATGTGGAAATAATGGAAGTAGAAGATAATCCTGGAAAGTCCTCTATGTCACCACAATCTCCCACAGTAACTAGACCAGATAAAGGGAAAAGTGTTATAGGGAAGGAAAACCCTTTCTATACAATGTTAACTCTAGAGTTTGCGTCCGATTATGTTTCTGAAGAGATAATGGATAAACTCATAAAGAATTATAGAGTCCAGTTGGAGAATTTCGTGAAGGCTAGCTCATCGATAAGTGATTACAGTACACTCCGGGGAGTATATTCGAGCGGATCGCTCACAGAAAGTTATTAAAAGGAGGATTGTTTAGGGTTCGCCCTTTATTCGAGTCAACTGTCTCTTGCTTCGGGGTGAATAATTCAAACCTATCAATACCCACTCGGAACAAACTGCTATTTAGTGATATTAGTGAGATTGCTCCTAACATGTATTGTATTCCAACTCAAAAGAATAACGCATCTTTTGATGCGTTCGTTTTTCCCGACACATTCTTCCAGATGACTGTTTCTGAGAGTCATCCTATCGTAAAGAGTGGGTTGGAAAAATATATTAATAAGAATGATAATTCGGATATCAAATTTTATTTTGTCTTACCGAAGGAAATGTATAACTCTTACCAAGAGCAGGTTCTTTACACCACAAAGAGAACTGTTCTCAAGAGTAAGCCACCTTGGATTAATCGTCTTAAGCAATATGCTCTGGAAATTGACCTGAAATTGTAGCTTTTGTTAAAAAAAGATTAATTTATGTTCTCATTGGGTCTTGAAAGTGTTTCTCTTTTTTTCACATTTCGAGCTTGTAATTTCTAACTATATGTATGCGTGTATGTGGCGTGGGGTGTGCATCGGAAAATAAAAAAAATTCTTGGCAAAAGTCACACCCTAAGGGAATGATTAGAAAATTTTCTTGGTAAATAACTGGCGTTACAAATTATAATGCGCACATGATAATACTCCCAGTGATAAGAAATTTTAGGTTTAACTCCTCATAAACTGAAAAATCCTGAGACTCGAGAACAGTTTAATCTATGGCGTAATAAATGGATAGCAATTTATAAAAATCAACCTGTTATGCAATTTGGGATTATTAATAGAGAATATAAAGAATATATTACCTTCAAACCATTTGATTGGATATATTCTAAAAAACAGCAATTGCAGGATAAATTTCAAAAGCGACTTTTAGAATTACAGTACAAGCATAGAAAGATATCACTTTATATATTATATATATTTCTTTATTTAGATGAGATAGCTTCGCATTAAGCGAGACGATATAACTAATATAAAATATATAACTTATCTAGATGTATAATATTTTGCTTCGCGGTGATATCTGTTTTATATATTTTTTGCACATTAATTGATTTTATGGGGCACAAAAATCCCTATATGATATATTCTCGAGTTTATTTACACTAATTTTACCGTGATAGCCCAGCTATTTCTTCGAACTTGAGTACTCATGCTATTTACACACCCACCCCGATTCCAAATCAACTGGATATGATCAGCTTCTCAATAATATAAAAAGTGATGAGTAGGATGTATTATAATTTTGTGTTAATAAATGGGAAAAAATAATTATTTGATTGTTATACTTCTGCCTTCTCGCAATTCTGGAATAATGAGGATGAGTCATGTTTAATTCTTTATATAAGTATTATGAAATTTGCATCTTTAAAATCACGCTCTATTCATTAGAAAGATTTAAGAGGTATCCCAACCAAGACGTATTGATGTAAATTAGCAAATCATACGAATGTCTTCCTATGACGATCGCAGCACTAATTTTATGGAGAGAAGCTAATGATTACTTATAATGATAAGAGACATATAAGAATATGTCTCTTAACATTAAATGCAGAAGAGCAGAGACTACTGATCCCCGTTAAAATTACACTTCCAGGAGGTCAAGTCTGCATTTGAATATTTCAAATTGGTTGTTGCTGATGCCAATTTTGATCTAAGAAACACCCTAAAAAGTTCATTAATAAGGATGTTTCTACGAACAATTAACAATTTCAAATATCTTAAGATCAATAGAACAATTCACGATCAGGCAATCATAAGAAATATTAGAAATAATTTAAGATAAGATTATTAAAATAATAGTAATGGTACGGTCCTTTAACCCATCATCTCCACGACACAATGATGCTCTTTGAGTATCTTTCTGGCTCAATAGAAGAAAACACCACGTGGCAGCCATCTCGATTCAATATCGGGAGAAGCACTGACAAGGGCCTTTAAAAAAAAACAAACATTAATTACGTCGAGTCTTAGTGAAAACAATATCAGGCTTACGGGAAGCAAAGCAATAGCAGAAGCGCTTTGCTTCAATAATTCCTTAACTTCACTATACCTCAAAAAAAAAATAATATCAGTGAAGAAGGAGGAAAAGCATTAGCCGAAGCACTATGCAAAAAATAATACTTTAACCGATTTAGATCTTTCGCTTAATCGAATTTCAGTTAGAGGAGCAAAAACATTAGTTTATGCGCTTTGTGAGAACACCACCTGATTTCTTTGATTCTTGATTATTATCAAATTTCACCAAAAGGTGAAGAAGAATTAGCCAAGTCACTATATAAAACACCACCTTATTTTCTTAAACATTAAAGGTAATAACATTTTTTAGTTTTTTAGAATAGAATTTGCGAGGTTGCCCCATATGAATACTACCCTCACTTCTTTAGATCTTCATATTTTAGAGTAGGGCCTTTGCTGGGAGATGTGTTTTGCAGAAATGCACTCTCGTTTCCTTGGATTTCCAATCAAATGATCTTGAGCCAGAAGATGTGAAGGCGATAGCAAATGCACTTTGCAAAACATCACACTTTCTATTCTTAATCTGACAGATAATATAATATTGGATCCAAAGGAGGAAAAGCATTAGCAGACGCTCTTTGCGTGAATACTACCCTAACTTTCTTAGATCTTTCCAATAACAATATCGGCCTAATAGGTGGGAAGGCCTTAGCAAATGCTTTTTGCAAAAACATTACACTTTTTAATTTTTTTAATTTTAATCTTGACTCATCCAGGACGGCCCCAAAGTGCCAGTGACGTAATCATGGTGCATCCACAGTATATACATATGTATCGATATTGAATTATGTACAATTGCTGTCGAAAAAAAAGTGATTTACAATATGCAGCTGAAGAGAACCAATAAGTTGCACTAATTGATCTTACATCACTAGTACTTTGGGGGCCGCCATGGATGAGTCTCAGATAATAGTATTAATAGTATTGAATCCGAGGGAGGAAAAGCATTAGCAGATGTTCTTTACGTGAATACTACCTAATTTTCTTAGATCTTTTTTATAACTAGGTTAATTCGTAGCATTGTGTGTCCGGAGCACATGATAACAATCATATCGCACAAACTAGTGAATATGTATATATATTTTCGTTACACTAAAGTATAAATATGCGGGTCGGTTAAAGCGGAGCGAGGTATAGAGTTACCTTTTTGATGCATTTAAGGTTAGCGGGTTATATAGATATCAAGAATACAACATATGCAGTATGTAGATCATATATTGAATTCGCTCCGCTTTAACCGACCCCTAAATATGGACACGCGTGCGGACAGACAAAAAATTTCCTTTTGATCGACATGCATCAAAAACGTAATTTTGTGTCACTTAATACATAAAAATTGGAATTATGGCTCAGATCCCTGATCCACAAATCGGATTTCAAGAATCAGTTGTAACGTAACACGATCAGGAATTTCATCCTATCGATAACTCTTCTGAAGGAAATATTATTGGGAATGTATATTGAAGGAGGCTTCTAATAATTTTTAATAATTGATTATTAATAAATTATTTTTAATAAAAGAATCTTAGTTTAAAATATAATGAGTTTTTACTATAAAAATTTAACTTCAGTATATTAAATGCTTGTTAATTAAGTGATATATAATAATTATTCTCTTAAGACAATTATAATTTAGTGCCAGAGCATGATTAGAATGCAACATCAATATGTCTTTCATTTTCTTTCATTATTCTTTGTTACTTTTCGTTAGCAACTCGAATAGTCGGTAACATTAAAAAAGGTAAAAATCCGATAGTTCATTATGATCGCACCAACAGATAACTCGAGTTATTTGGCCTGAATCTGAGAACTGGACAATAAACAAGAAAAAATAGTATAGAAGTATAAATAAGAACCGGGGAATAATTAAAAATTATGTAATTTGATTGGTTAATTGTCTATGATTCCGTAAACATAATCATCCAATTTTGTCCGATATCTATATTAATGTATGCCGATTATTGTTGTGTATCACGAGTTATATCATGGTTTTGTAAATGTCGATTTCGCAGCACTTGACCCATTTTATAATATCTCCCCTATACTATTGCGTGATTCTTCGTCACGCGTAACGCTTTTTTTTTTTAATTTTAACAGACGCCCCGAG